GCCCATGGAGATCGTCTTGAACAAGTAAGGAGCTGCTCCCCGAGCCTGGGCCGGCGCCGTGACGCGGGGGCTTGGCCCTCCGCACGTGCCACGAGGCGGCGACGGTTTGGGGTCGCGAGAGTCCGGTTAACGGCGTTGCGAGGGGAACGCGCCTTTCCCCCAACCCGGGGCCTTCTGCTCTGCTTCCCGCCCCGGGCGAGCAGCCCCGTTACCCCCGGCCTTAGGTTGCGCCGGGGGTGCCCGGTTGCGCTTTGGGGACCTGAGCAGGGGACAGGGCGTGGGGTCCCGGTCCGGGCTCTCTGGGCACGAGCCCCGGGCACAGGTCGGTTTTGCCACAGCCCTTTGGATCCCACGCTTGTCCGTGAAGGAGATCAAGCCCCCCTTTCACTTCCCGGTCCATCACCATGGCAATGCCTGGAAAACCTGTGGTTGGGAGAGGATATGTGACCAGGAACATCCTCATTTTCTGGGAGTCGAGGCTGAGGTGCACTACCTGGATTTTCCAGGGTAGCGTGGGCAGAGCATAACAGGCAACCTGAAGCCTAGTTAGAGTGGGGAAAGGCTCGGTGTGCTGCCGCCTGGCGTGGAGCAGAACCGAGTAACGACTTGGTTACGAGTAACCGAGTACGAGAACGCTCAGTAACGAGAGTTCTCAGTAACGAGAACGCTCCTATGTCGTGGGAAAAATTATCCGCCGCCACGGCGCCGGCTGGGAGTTTGAGAACTGCTTGTCTGCCTTGGCGGTACGGCGCATTGTTAGCCGTGCCGAGGAATGTCGGGAAGCAGGAAAGCTGGAAGGGGTGAAGGGAGGCTGCCCTCCTCCCCGTCGGTGGTATCGGAGCACCTGCCCTCAGTCTCTGTGCCTTGCTGGTCCCTCTGTTCACCGGTTCTCCCTGGTTTATCCCTCCTTTCCGCACAGGGAGTCACGCAGGAAAACGCCCGTGGCCGTTTCTTTGAAGGAGAACGAGCGTCTCTTCGGTGACAGCGCGCTGGGAATGGTGAGAGTTCTGGGAATGGGAACGCGGAATATACGCTTCCGCGGCTGGGTCCCTCCTGGTGAACGTCTGAGCCAGGAGGTCCTGCGCTTCCCGTCTCCTCGGTGTGGTTCTGGCTTTCTGTCCCGGCTTGTCCGGTGCCGCTCTCCTGCTCTGACCCCCTTGCCGAGAGCCGTTGTCCGCGTGGTTGGGAGAGGTCGGTTTGACAACGGCAAAGCCGAGGAGCGCGTCGCTCAGCTGCGTTTCTTTCTGCAGTCCATAAGGACCCCCAAGGTGGCGTTCAGGTACTTCCAGGATCTGCTGGGGAAGCGTATCGATAACCCCCACGTGGCGCTGTACCAGGCCCGATTCCCAGAGCACGAACTGGCGAAGGATGAGAAAAGGCAGACCGTTGTCTTCAAGCTGTCCCAGTAAGTGGGCGCTTCTGAGCTCCCTGGGGGGGATCCGGGCGAGCGGGCTGATCCAGCCGACTCTGCCTGGCTGTGATGACGTTCTTCCTGTCTCTTTCCCACAGAACAGTGCAGTATTCCCCAGAGGAGATGCTGGGGATGGTGCTCAACTATTCCCGCGGCCTGGCTGAGGAATTCGCAGGTTGGTAGGATTTGGCTGTCCCTTGAGCTTCCTGCGTGCGCGTGTTTCCACACCGTAGGGTTGAGCAGGGGCCGAAGGCGTTGGAAACAGGCCGTAGGGTCTCTTCAGCTGCGGGCCGCGAGCAGGACTGGGCAGCTGTGACGGTGCCGTCTGCTTCTGACGCAGCGCGAGTTTGGGGGTCTGAATCCTGTCCCTGGGGGGGGTGTGGGGGCAGCGCAGGTCCCACCCGGCTGCTCGGTCAGTAGCGCTAAAGCCCCTCCAAAGACGTTTCACTCTGGGGAGTGAACGGAGTGATGAAGTGAGTCTGCACGGAGTTGCGATCCCTTGAAATCTGCGGCCTCCCGGAGCGTTCGAGAGCACCCTGACGTGTGGGAGGGGGCAGTAGGCACGTCGGGGGAGGCCGTGGGGTCGGCTCAGCTGCAGCAGCACTTAGAT